CCTATCCTAACACTAAACCTAACACAAACCCTAAACCTAACCATAACACTAAACCTAACCCTAACCCTAACCCTAACACTAACCATAAACCGAAGACAAACCCTAACCCAAATCATAATTCTAAACTTAACCTAATCGTAACCCTGTTAAGTAAACCTAACCCTAACCCTAACACTAACCCTAAACCTAACCATAACCCAACCATAACACTAACCCTAACTCCATACCTAAGCTTATCACTGATCCTAAACTTAAATGTAACCCTAAACATAAACCTAACCCTAACCCTAATTTTAAACCTAAATCTAACAATAACAGTAACCCTAACCGTAAACCTAACACTTACCCTAACCCTAACCTAACCCTAATTATAACCCTAATTTTATCCATAAACTAACCCTAAACCTAATCCGAACCCTAACACGAACCCTAACCCTAATCCTAAACCTAACACTTACTTTAAAACTAACCCTAACACTAAACCTAACCCTTAAACTAACCCTAACAATTACCCTAAACCTAATCCTAAACCATACTCTAATACTAACCTTTAACCTAAACATAACTCTAAATCTAACCCAAAACCCAACCGTAAACCTAAGTCTTAAACTAACCCTAACACTTAACATAACCCAAATCCTAACCGTTACCATAACACTAACCCTAAATGTAACCCTAATACTAACACTTACTGGAAACACTTTCCTGAACAAAACACTAACCCTAACTTTAACCCCAACCCTTACCATAAACATAACACTAAATCTAACCTTAAAACTAACCCTAACACTAACCCTAACCCTAAAACTAACACTAACCCTAACCCTAAGATGAATCAAAACCCTAACCAAAACACTAAACCTAAGTGTAACACTAACTCTAACGCTAACCCAATCAATAACTCCAATCCTAAACCTAACACTAATCCTAACACTAAAACTAACCCTCACCCTAACCGTAACCCTAATGTAACCCTAACCATAACCCTAACCCTAACACTAACACTAACCCTAAACCTAAACCTAATCCAAACCCTAACATTAACCCTAACCCTAACCCTAATCCTAACACTAACCATAACCCTAAACCTGAACTAACCCTATCACTAACCCTAACCCTATCCGTAAACCTAAAATTAACCCTAATTCTAACCCTAAAACTAACCCTATTCCAAACACAACCCTAACCTTAATCCTTACCTAAGCCTAACATTAACCCTAAAGCTAACAATAATACTTACCTTAACCCAAAACCTAACCATAACTCTCATCCTAATCCTAACCCTAAATCTAATTGTAACTCTAACCCTAACCTTAACCCTAACTTAAACCTAACATTATCCCTATCCTTAACCCTTACATGAACCCTAACCCTAATCCTAACCCTAACTTAACCCTAACCCAAACCCTATTTCTAACACTAATAATATACTTAACAATAACCTTTAACCTATACCTAACCCTAAAGCTAACCCTAACCCTAACCCTAACACACACCCTAACCCTAACCCTATGTAAACATAACCCTAACCCTAACCCTAACACGAATTCTTTCCCCAACCCTAACCCTAACCCTAACACTATCTATCCCTAACCTAAACTTAACCCTAACTTAACTCTAACCTGTCCCGACCAGCAGGACACATCAATGTGGGCCTTGAACCAGGTGGGGAGGAATGAAGGGACAAGAGACATGGAAGGATGACAGCAAGAAAGGAGTTCTGATCAAGCTGCAAACTTTTATTGTTCACACAGGGGTATTTATATGCTGGGGATGGGGAAGCTCTCTTATCCGCAGTTGCTGGATGTCTGCACAAGGTGAGATAACCGCAGGATGTCTCAGGCAGATAGATGGCTGCAGGGTGTCTCCCAGGCAGGATGTCTCCCAGGGGGCTGTTTCTTGTAAGTGTCAGGCTCTTCTTTGAAGGAGAATTTCCTTCTAGCCCCTGACATTTTCCCCCTTTCTTATATAAAATATTTGACCATACCTTATTGACCATGTTTTTAGGGGGTGATAGAGGCTCTGTTCCTCTAGGAGGCCTTAGAATATCTCCTGATCTGAGCGAGCATCTTTACTAGGAGATTCCGTGGCATTGGCATGTTTTTGGAGGAGACGGTTTTGAGGGAAAAGCATGCCAACCGCCATGCACCAAAGCGTATCACTCAGAGGTCTTGGGTTTTGGGATCCGTGGATCCATCCTCCTGCAGTCCTTCCTGCACCCTCCGTTATTTTGGCCTAACATCCTCACTCCATGGGTGCGTCCTCCCCCAAGCGGAGGGGCCCATGGAGGAGCGAACCCTTATGGCAAGGGTAGAAGATGGTGGTCAGAGCTGTTACTTATACTTTTATATAAGAAAGAGAGATCTGTGGGGATGTAAACTTAAGAAATAAGCCTGTGAGAAGGGTGAAACAGCCTTTTAAATGTTGGCAGCACGGTCTTCCATCTCCAGATGATGATAGTGAACCTGTATGGGCTTAGAGGCCAAAATATTAATCTGTTCTTTAATAAATTGTACCAGCCTGTTTATAATGCAGGGTCCTATGGACACCATTAAAAGTAAACCCAATAAGGGAAGAAGGTAGGGTAAAAATCCATTAAGCCCAGTCCAGAGGGGATTTTCAAATAGTTCCCTTCTTCTCTTTTCTAGATCTTCTTGAAGCTGCTTAATTTTAGTGCATACTATGCCTGATTTATTGGCATAAAAGCAGCATCTTTCCCCTAAGGCCAAGCAAATACCTCCCTGGTTAGCTGTCAGCAAATCTAAGCCTTGTCTGTTTTGAAGGACCACTTCTGCCAGGGAGTCTATTTGGTCCTGTAAATCTTTAATGGTTCCTGATAGAGTTTGTACATCATCTATAAGTTGTTGAGATAAGCGATGGTAAGAGTGTATAGCCGTGCGTAAGCCAGTGGTACCTGTGCCCACAGCAGCTGTTATTCCAAGGCTGGCAAGGAGTGGTAAGGCCTGTATTGCCCACCTGTGTCTTTTGACTAAGGTGTCTAGGCTAGGAATGGGTAGAGGTTCATCTCCTGGGACAATAGTTATATCAGGGAGTAATAAGGCAAGAACACAGCCACCAGTCCAATTTGCTGGAAGCCTGGGGAAGGCTGAGTTTCCTCCACACATAAAAACTGTGTCATTGGGGGGACAAAGAGATGGAGTGGGTGAGGAATAATTTTTTTACTGTTGAGCAATTTCCAAAGGAAGTAACTCCAACATCAACATCATAGGTATAATTCTGCATCGTGCCTAAAAGACATGATGTAAAAGTGCCCATAGGCTGTACTTTAAAAGGAAATCCGGGTTGGCATGTATTATCATTGTCTATGATAGAATTAATAGGAACTGCCATAGGCATGATTGCCCCTGTTGTCATGCAGAGCCAGCAATCACCAGCAAGGGTGGGGTTGGAATTATTAAGCAAGGAGAAGGTAGTTTCCAAAATATCTAATGTACTGGTATCTAAATCTGGGAGCTGGGATTTAGGCAGCATTAAGGGATGATATGTGAGCTCAGGGATTTGGGGTTTCAAAAGTTTGATTACCTGAAGATGCTTGACAGCATCAGTGGGTCTTCCACCATCAGAGACCCCTGTAGGGGCCTTAATAGGCCAGCAGGAGGGTTTACCGACAGTGCCTTGGCATCCAGCTGACTGTAACTTGGTGTATATGCCTTCTCCTCCCCGGTCAAAGAGAACGGGAGTATAGTGAATAGTGCTCCCCTCTGCTGCATGAGTTTTAGTTAGGGTGGCTTCAGAAAATTGTTCTCCCTGCTTGTTAACACAAATTGAGGCTGACGCAGAACAGGAGACATGCATCGCCTGGGTATGCATGCAAGTTGCAGAACAATTTTGGACAGCTTTACTTGTACTGGGGGGAATAATCTTTGGCTTGTTAACACATACCCATTCAGGCTGATGAACTCCTCTGAGTTTATGGTCAACCTCGGCATGGAGGTAAGCCACCTTAGTCACGCAGTCAGCAGTCTGGGTCCAACTGGTGGGAGCCTGAGTCCAAGATCCTCCCTTGCATTCGCAGGGGGGGCCAAAAAGGTACTCCATGATATTGGAAGGTGGAGGGCCAAGGCCTCCATGTACAAACCTGTTCAGCAGAAGTGCCTTAAGCAGGATCCTCACACAGATTGTTGGCTGCATCTTCAAAAGAGGAAAATTTGTCCTCAGGGGGAGGGTCTCTGTCCCTGGGTTGAGGTAAGTCATTAACCTGTTTAACCAGGCGTTCTGGTAACCATCTTGGGGCTGATTGCTCTTGGTCCAAAACACAAGCTGAGCCTCGTCGCCAGGTGAGGACAGGATCTGGGCCTTTCCATTTATTTGTAAGGGGATTGCGCCACATAACAGGTGGGCGAACAGAATTGGACGAGGGATGCCAGTGTCTGTCTGCGGCCGAATGGCCTTCACTGTCTAGGGTAAGAAAATTAAGGACAAATAATGCATGGTTAAGGCGATCCCAAAATCTTTATATTTTAGAATAGTATCCTTTAAATAGGTATCTCTTAATTGCCTTTTAAAAATATGATTAAGGTTATTTCCTGTGTAGGGAGCAGTATATAAATCTTACTGTATTTTTTATGGACAAGAGATCTAGTCAGAGAACTTATATAATATCAATTTTTTTTTAAGTTTGTAACCTTTATTGTTTAAAATTTTTTTTTTTTTTCTTTTTAAAAATTTTTATTTTGAGACAGGGTGCACTAAGTTGTCCAGGCTGGCCTCAAACTTGTGATCCTTCTGCCTCAGATTTCCAGACAGCTGGGATCACAGGTGAGCGCCATTAGCATGATAATCCACAGTAAAGTTTTGGAAGCATTTGAAACAAATATCAATTCTGATATCACTGGGTTGAATTATACATAGTTTCAGATAAGTTAAATGAAACTGATGCTCCTAAAAATGCTAAGTGTAAAGAAGAGGGTTTAGGTACTTAAGAAATAAGTGTCAAGGTCTGCCATGATTAAGCTACTTTCTAAAAAATCATCAACGGATTACAGGAGGGCAACATGGTTTTCACTGCTTAAGTTCAGTGAAAATTGCATATATTCAACTTTTACTCTCAAACACATGTGGTTTACACTATATCGGGACAACAAAGAATCTCTTATCCAATTTTAGTACTTTTGCAGTAATGTGTATAAAATCCAACCACAATTTAGGTAACCTTAGGACAGAGCAATCCTAAGAGATTAAAACATTTACATCTTTTAATTAAATTGTACTATTATCTTATAAAAATGTTGAGGTTTAACTTTGTTTTCTAAAAAATAGAGCACTAACCAGTTTCAAATACAGCAGTAACCTAGGTGATAGCTCAGATGTGTCTAACCTGTATGCAGAACTCTTAAGATGATAACACATCCAGGAGTTCCTTTAAATGACATATATTTAAATGATGCTATCATAATTCAAACTGAACAACAGAATCTTGATAAAACAAGAAATGGGAGAAATGAAAAAATGATTTCTGAACAAAATGTGTACTATATCACACGAAAGTGAGTCACTGGGCAATATAGGCATGAAGCAGATATGCTCCATGCAAAAACAGATTGCATATTAGAATTCAAGAGTCATAGCACACATGCTGTTTTTGTTTTTTAAATCCCTAAGCTCAAAAAACTGTTTTATCAATTTTGCTTCTCTTTTGTAACACATCTTTTTTAAATAACTCTCACTTTTCATTCCAGAAAATATAAGAAACAGTTTGCAAGACTGCCTGCAAACCATGTTTCTCTAAGGCCATGAACTGGTTTGCTAAGCTGTATTGTATTCAAGTAAAAAGTCCTTCTAAAATAAGGGGTCTGTAAAAGAAACCAATTACCTTCAATTCTCAGGCCTGTACACTTGTTAGGACCTCTAACACAGTGAAAGCCAAAGGTAGGGAGCTCATTTGGGCATTAGCAAAATGGTCTCTATCTCCTTTTTTTTTTTTTTTTTTTTTGTAGCACTGGGGATTGAACCCAGAGTCTTAAGCATGCTAGGTAAACGCTCTACCATTGAGCTACACTCTTAGCCAACTATTTACACATTTTAAAACTGTAATACATGTTCAGTTTTTCTGGCAGATTTCTTTCATATGTTACAAAACAAAACAGCAAAAGCTTAAAATAAGATAAGAATCCTTTTTCTTAGAAAGGTCAAGCAGATACTTCTTGACATCCTGTCTTTTACACAATAGCATACTGTTCATATAAAAGGTCTCTTATCCTATAAAAATCTTGACAAAGGCAGCCTTCTAATCCGATGCGTCCAGTTTCCGTTCTACGAACTGCTACTTGATTGTTGCAAACAAGTACACCTCCTACAAATTCAGCTTGAATCCCCTCCCGTAAAAGAACTTGCTTGAAGTCTGATAGTCTTGGTTCATTCATAAAAACTGACTGATGTCCAGGAACCTCATGCGGTGGCAAAGGCTCCAAGGTGGGGATGATCTCACTTTCTTCACCCGTTTCTTTCTCATCATCTCCAAACAGACTTTTCATGGCCTTTTGCTGAGCTATGACGCTGGCATCGGAAGGAGCGTCCACCTGCATCTCTGAGTCTTCACCATCATCCTTTAGTTCTCCTTCTTCTAAAATAACTCCTGTGTCTACTTTGGAAACTCTCATGTCTAAGACACCATCTATCCATGCTAATTCAGCATCTTTTGCCTTACAAAACTGAAGGGAGCTGACAAGTGAATCTTTTAATCTCACCTGGTAGATGTGTGTTTCACTGGTGGCATCGACTGTTTCGTGTAGCTTTGGCATGTACACTTTAATATCCTTCCCACCAAACGCGCGGCAGCACTCTGCCAGATCTTGACTGGCCTCTGGTGGGCCATGGACAATGATCAACTGTCGTGGTTTCATCTGATTAATGATTTTCTTAATGGAATCCCCATCAGAGCGTCCTTCATAGTCTATATAAGTAACCCTGGCTTTTATTTCAATAGACTCTGTTGTAGAAATACACTTAGTAGGAACATCAGATAAATCTTGATCCATGGGTTCATCTCCATTTGTCAAGCCAGATTCTAATTTGCTTTTTTCTTCTTCAGTAGCTTGAAGTTCTGGCACTAAGAAATCCTCTGGTTTGATGATCTCTCCATACTCGTCCCATTTAATCCTTTCTTCTGGGGCAGGAAACATGGGATAAGATTTCTTTGCCTGTTTGAAGAAGCTTCCTTTTCTACTACCTTCACCTTTCATAATCAGGTCGTGCTTTGTCTTATGAGCTGACGGCTGGTCAATATCTTCTTCCACATCACTCTCATCGCTGGAATCAATATCTGCCTCCTTTGATTGTTCAAGTTTTTTAGCAGCTTCCTTCTTTAGCTTCTCTTTTTCCAAGTATTCTTCAAGTTCTTTCCCTTCAAGCTTCACACGTTTCCTCAACTCTATTTCTGTAATTTTTTCAGAAGGATTATCAATTAGGAAACGTGCTAAAGTCCCAGGAGTAGTTCTATAAGTCAGAATGATTGAGTTTTTAGGGTCCTGACACCACTGAATAAAGAGATCCCTTGAAAATCCACATTCCAGGTCAGGTTGGCTGGCAAGTACAACTTTGGGGCTAGGCACACGAGCCAAGTCAGAAAGACCGTGGCATAAAGAGAGATGGCGAAACTGAAATGGATTATTTCTTTTGTCTTCAAAACATCTCATCAATTTATCACTCATCCATTCTACCTGGGACTTAGAAAACTCCACCACATTATAACTGACATTATTTAGGAGTGCCAAGGAGTAAACACCCAATCCTGCATCTTTAGTTCTCCAGATCTGATCAAGAAGTTGAGCAAGTTCCAAAACTCTGCCTGCAGTGTCCACTGCTATTAATACATTTCCATCACCTCGAAGTGTTTCCAGGACATTTGTCAGAAGTTGTTCATCTCTCTGTTTTCTTCTAGGCTGCACATATGTAGCATTAAATGAATCTGTGATAAGTAGAGAGGGTCTGCTTAGCATTTCCAGGGAATATCCATTTAAGTGGATCTCCCTCTTGTGGTTGAAGTCAACTGCATAAACAATTTCTTCTTCTCCATCTTTGACTATTTTCCATATTGTTCCACCTATCATGTGACCAGCTGGCAAAGGTGTGATAGATAAGCCATGTCCTTTACCTTTCAAATTCACAATCTGAGAGAATTTCAGCTGCTGTATTTTATCAAAGGCCGCATCCACATCATCTAACGTAAAGAGTGTGAAATCTTCTGTATTGTGTCGAGACTGGTAAAGATCATACATGAACATCTGTCCCATTTTATAAACAGGAATGGTTGCATAAATGGCACAATTGAGCCCCAACTTTCCCACAGCATACGGGAGGGCACCCAGATGGAGAGGATCCGGGTGAGATAGCAGCACTGCATCGATCTGGTGAACATGCTTCCTCAGGGAATCTATAATATCCATAGAAAAGTGCTCATCCCAGCCACAGTCCAACAGAAATCTAAACTCATCAACCTGGAGAAGATAGCAAAGAGCAGACTCCTCTTGGACCCCAGAGAGGGTAGTTAATTTGATAATAGATGTCATCTTTTGGTTTGAGTAACAGTAACCTAAAAAGGTCCTGATTTTTCAGTTGTATATATGATGAAACACCATGAATTCAGAGGAAGAGTTCCTTATAAATCTCGCGGGCCTCCCCCAACGCCGTCCACTGCCCTTCCCAACCCCTGCTCGAAGCCAGGTTCTGGAAGGAGGAAAGCTGATGCTGGGTCAGCAGTAGCCGTGACGACCGGCCGGCAGGAGACCCTCCGTGGCGGCCGCCATCTTGCCCCCGCGGCTAGGGGCCCTGGCGGGGGCGTTTAAAATTAATATATAAATTTAATTTGGAGAATCTTAGTCTTAATAAAATGTGGTTTTTTTTTTTTAATTTTATGATTATCTAACAAACAAAGTATGTAAAAATTAGTATCTCAGTGTCTTAGAATCAATTAATTTTAGTCTCTAAAGACAATTGTTAAAATCGGATTTAAGTTAGTAGTTCAATATACTTAAATGTTTAATCGACAATGTGAATTTATTTACCAAAATTAATCTTTGTCTTAAACAGTAAGAATTATTAGGCAATAAGGATCTTTCTTTAAAGAAATAAACTTACATTTTAATAGGTGCTTATCATGTCAAAATATGGACAAAATCTTAGCTCACATTAGTATAGTTAAACTAGGAAAAATAGCCTGAAATACCCTTAAATTAATTATAGTCAGTTTAGTATATGTAAATCTCTTTTTTTAAATCGTTCTAACTTTTTACATCATTGTTTAGATAACAATATAAAAATCTGTTGTTTAAATAACAATATAAAGAAACGCTAAATAAAACTTAGGAAAATACTTTTATCATTGAAATATGAATATAAAGACCTTGTTTTACCCAAATATGATTTCTTTCTTCTTTTTAGGATCCATGTGTGCTTTTTCTTTGTTGAAGCATCCTTTACTTTTAGAAAAAAAAATTTTTTGTTATACTTGGGACAATTTCTGAAAACCTTAGAATCTATAAACAAATTATTGTACTTTGATTAGAAATATCAATGAAAATATAGTTAAAATCCTTAGATAATTTGTAGACATAATTATAATTATTTATCATCTCATGAGTTTGAACAGTAACTTTGAGAATTAGAAACTACTTGAAGATTGTATTTTCACTTAAAAGCAAATTTATAGTAAACACATTTATCTCAAATATCTGTAACTGAAAAGGCAGAGTATCTGATAAATGTAAATATAAAACATAAATTATGGGTTTTCTGTTGAAGAAAAACAATTAGGCAAATATATATTAACTAATCAATTAGGCATGTGCTAATTATTTTATAGATATCTAAAATATAGGATATCATCTAATATATATATATATATATATATATATATATATATATATATATATATATATTAAGAATAAGAACATAACTTATAATTGTATTAACTTTATGTAACCACGTGGTCTTAAAATATTTGGATCCATTTTAATTTATTTTTAACTAGAAGTGCACTCTTTTATGTGACGTCACTTGATGTAACTGAAATAAGATCCTTGACAATACATATTTATTTTTTAGTTAGGAATGAGAATAAGGATTTTTTGGTCATCACAGGAACATTGCAGGCTTTGTTCCTGTGGCGAGCAAATGCATCCTCATAACCTCCAAAATTAAGAGTAAAATATAAAGAAGCATGTTTGATATCTCTCATCAATAGAACATTATTTAGTAACACAATTATAGAGAAAAGTCAGGTTATTTAACTCAGAACTAACTTAAATTTAGGGCTGCAACATAGAAAGCTGTGGAATTAAATTTTGTCTGAAAAAGATATCTTTCGTTAGCATTTACAGGTAGGCATTCTTAAAAATACAGGCTCTGAACAGCTCCTGTAGAAATCTGAAACACAGTAGTACAGATTAGTGGCTGGAAGGCGGGACTAGAAGTCCTGTCTGAGTGACTGTGGAAGAACCAATCGGAAGCCCACGAAAGTGTGGGAGGTGGGACCAGGAAGCCTGCTCTTCCTGCCAGTCACCCCATGGTTACCATGGTGATGCAAACAACATGGAGTCTGCTGCCCATTTTCGGGGCAAAAGTTCCCCAAGTTTTCCTAGCCGATCGCATTTTGTTTGATTTTGTCTGCATTTTTCCCCGCCTGGCCAAGATCTTACTGCGGTAGCAGCTTGTTCTGTCTCTGCGACCTGTGGTTGCAGCTCCTGAACATCCTGCACTTTTTTCTGTGGCACGTGGGTGCTCCAAAGGTTTTTTAGCAGCAAACGCTAGCATTACCATCAGATCTTAAGTTAGTCTGTGTTTGGCATTTAGGTCAAGTAATTCAAGGATTAAAAGCACTGTTGGCCGCAGGGGCTAGGACCCCATAGCGAGCAGCAGCGGCTAAAGTCTCTTGTCCCCAGCAGCTGTGTTATACCCATTCTGATTCATAGGACAATCATGTAGTAAAAAGGTCCATACATACTTTCTGAGTATTGACAAAAACAATAGAAAATTGAAACTTATTTCTCTCCAGGTAAACATCACATTTTCTCTCCCTTTTTCTCACTCTCCTAGTGCAAACTTCTAGAACATAAAGGCCAAAAAATATCTCTTTTTTTAAGCTTTTTTTTTTTAATTAATTGGGTTCCAGTAAGAAAAGGTGGGAACAGGCAACTTTTCTGGGCCAAAGGATTCATAATAATCTTTTAAACAGTCTCCTACTCTAAGCCATCTTTTACCATCAATGGTCCCTTCAAGGGGAAACCATGGACACAATTCTCCTATGTATGAAAAGAATAATCTTAAGTCCTTTTTCTTAACACGGGCCCCCCATGTCTTGAGGGCTTCCTTGAGGCCTGACAAAAACAACTCATGTGACAAAACTGCTTGTCCCATGGTGGGTCACTCACCTTGCATCGTCCTCACTCTCCTCCTGGATCTGTCTCTTGGTCGTGTCTGCCAAGGCAATCGCAAGCTCCCACTTGGCCAAGTCTTCCTGGAGGATGGCATTCCCCCTCAGTCAAAGGCTCGAGCCCCACACTGGGCTCCAAATGTCCTGACCGGCAGGACACATCAACATGGGCCTTGAACCTAGGTGAGGAGGAATGAAGGGACAAGAGACACAGAAGGATGACAGCAAGACAGGAGTTCTGATCAAGCTGCAAACTTTTATTGTTCACACAGGGGTATTTATATGCTGGGGATGGGGAAGCTCTCGTATCGACAGTTGCTGGACGTCTGCACAAGGTGAGATAACCGCAGGATGTTTCAGGAAGATAGGTGGCCTCAGGATGTCTCAGGGAGATAGATGGCTGCAGGGTGTCTCCCAGACAGGATGTCTCCCAGGGGGCTGTTTCTTGTAAGTGTCAGGATATTCTTTGAAGGAGAATTTCCTTCTAGCCCCTGACACTAACCCTTAACCTAACCCTAACCCTAATCATAACACTCACCCTAACCATTACACTAACCCTAAACCTAACAGTAACCTTAACCCTAACTCTAACACTAAGCCTAACAGTCACCAAAACCCTAATCTTAACAATAACACTAACTCTAATCATAACCCTAACCCTGAACCTTATATAAACCCTAACCCAGCACTAACACTAACCCTAACTCTAACACTAAGCCTAACAGTCACCAAAACCCTAATCTTAACAGTAACACTAACTCTAATCATAACCCTAACCCTGAACCTTATATAAACCCTAACCCTAACATTAACCCTAACACTAATCTTTACCCTAAAATAACCCTAACATAACACAACTGTAACCCTAACCACAGCCCTAACCCTAAACTTACCCTAACCCTAACACTGAACTAACATTAAAACTAATCCTAAACCTATATTTAACTCTAAGCATTACCCTAACCCTAAACCTAACCCAAACAGTAACTCTAACCCTAAAACTAACTGTAACCCTAACCCAAATCCTAAAACCTTCCACTAACCGTAACCCTAACTCTAACAAGAACTCTAACCCTGACCCAAACCGTATCCCTAACCCTTTACCTAAACCTAGTCCTAACCCTAAATCTAACCATAAACCTATCCCTTCCACTAACCCTAACACTAACCCTAATCCGAAACCTAACACTAACCATATCCTCACCCTAAGCCTAATGCTAATTTTATCCATAAAACTAATTCCAACCCTATCCCTAATCCTTACCTAACCCTAGCAGTAACCCTAACCCTAACAATAACATCAACCCTAACCCTAACTCAAAACCTAAACCAAAACCTAACCTTAACCCTAACACTAAACCAAACCCTTATTGTCTCCCTAACCCTTACATTAAACATTTAAACCTCACGTTAACCCTAATCCTAACCCTAACTCTAACCCTAAACCTAATTATAACCCTAAACCAAACAATAACGCTAACCCTAATTATAACCCTAACACTAACCCTAACACTAATACGAAACCTAAACCTAACACTACCACTAAACCTAACCCTAACATGAACTCTAAACCAAACCCTAACACTAACCTAAATCTAACCCTAACCCTATCCTTAACACAAAACCTAAACACAAACCTAACCCCAACCCTAACACTAACCCTATCCCATACCCTAACCGTAACTTAAAAATAATCCTAACACTAACCCTAACCCTAAACCTAACACTCACTCTAACCCTAACTCTAACACTAACACTAACTCTAATTATAAACCTAAACCTAAACCTTATCCTAACGCTGAACCTAACCCTAACACTAACCCTAACCATAACACGATCCCTAACACTAACACTAACCCTAATCCTAACCACAACCCTAACCCTAATCCTAAACCTAATACTAACTGTAACATAAACCATAAATTTAACCATAACCCTAATCTTAACCTAACCCTAAATTTAAACTAACCCTAACACTAACCCTAATCCTAACCTTAACCAAAATACTAACAGTAACACTAAACCTAACACTAACCCTAACCCTACCCTAACCCTAACCCTAACCCGAATCCTAACACAAACTCTACCCCAAACCCTAAAACCTACCCTAACCCTAAACCTGACATTAAGCTTAACCATAAACCTAACCCTAAACATAATGCTAACACTAAACCTAACCCTAAACTGAACCCTAACCCTAACTCTAACCCTAACCTTAATCCTAACCCTACAACTAACCCTAACCTTAACTGTAACCATAAACCTAAGTCTAAACATAACCCTAATCATAAACCTAACACTACCCCTTACCCTACCCTAATGTGAACCCAAATCTAACCCTAATCCTAACCTAATACTAACACAAACCCTAAACCTAACCCTACACCTAACCCT